GGGGGGGGGGGCTGAGCTGGGGGTGGGGAGAAGGTCCTGCTACTACTGCTCAAGCTTCGCTGCTCTGCCTCCCAGATCTTGTGGGGGAGACCCAGTGTTCCTAGGCGACCTGCTTTTGCATGGGGCAGCTGGGCTATTGATTTCTTCCTTAAGGCAAAGTTCCCAGCAGCCTGAGACAAGCTTCACCCATTAAAGGAGGCCGGCGATCAGCCTCTAAGATCCCCTCTCGCAGTAACCGAGAGCTGGGAGCTGAGGGGTCTAGTTCCCTGCTAACGACTACGTCCGCAGAGCTCTCTGGATTGGGTCCAGGAAAGCCTAGCTCGGCTATTTCCGGGTCCGGGTGAGACTGAGGTCCTGGGCTGGATTCCTGGCTCCAGGGAGCAAATCTCGTCTGTCCATCTGAGTGCGCGCGCACCTCAGCCCTGCTTTTTTTTTGGGGGGGGGTTGCAAAATCCTCCAAAGCAGCTCCCTCCCCAAGATCAGCAGGTGTCAGCTGTCCAGAAGGGGAAAAGCGGCAGGCTTGGCCAACTGAGGCTGGGCTGGACCCCTGCTGTGGAATCGCCCACACTTGCTACTGTTGTGGAACGCAGTCGGTCCACACCATCTTGTGTCGCTACCGCCATGGGCTTGGAGCTCTACCTGGACCTGCTGTCGCAGCCAAGCCGCGCAGTCTACATCTTTGCCAAGAAGAATGGCATCCCCTTCCAGATGCGTACCGTGGATATACTCAAAGGTTGGCCCATTTACGCCTAGACCATGCCAGTCCTTCACATTCTGCCTGGGTACAACGTCCCCACCCCCACTCCACCATCTGGTCCCCCACCGCCACCCCGCGCGCCGTCCACCGAGAAATGCTCTGCTCTCTTTAGAGTGGCCTTAGTCAGTTCAGAGCCCTCTTTAAACTTCTGCTCTGACAAGAGAGACTTTCTGTCCTGGGACGTGGGGGAGAAAAATGAAAGATTCCCACAGTTCCTGCTTTGAATGCGCGCAGTGTTTAGATTCGCAAAATCCCGGAGATTTTGCAGGGAAGAGACACGTAGTGCCTGAGCCCTTGCACACATTTTCTGACTTCTTCCTTCCCAGGGCAGCACTTGAGCGAGCAATTCTCCCAGGTGAACTGCTTAAAGAAAGTTCCTGTTCTCAAAGACGGAAGCTTCGTGTTGACTGAAAGGTGCAGTTGTAAATAAACTCAGAGTTCTCACCACCTCCTCCGTCCGCCTTCCTGTGGTCGCCAGGCTTCGGTCGGTCGGGGATGGGGTAGGTGGTGGGGCCCTGCAGACTCCTACCCTAGGTCGTGAGGGGGCGTGGCTAGAGCAGACCATCTGGGAAGGAGGCCAGGAAGACTAGGGGGCTGATCCAGCATGTCGCTTGCCCCTGTGCTGTTTCATCTGTTGGACCCCACCCCCAATCCCACCTCCAGGTCTCTCTGCTCTGATTGGGGGGTATTGGAAGGCGACAAGGGGACAATTGTCGAGGGTTAGGGGGGAAAAAAAGATTCAACAAAGGACTAGAAAGAGCGTTTCCTAACTTCCCAGATGTCTTGTTTAATTTGCCAAAGCTTTGGCACTGGAGACCAGTGAAAGGATCAGGGCTCAGAGACTGTCTGGTTCTCCTGTTAGAGTCTAGTGGCAGAGAGCTCAAAAACAAACCCCAAAAGCCACACAACAACAACAACATCAACAACAACAAGAAAAGCAGAGAGGAGGAGGTCAGAGCTAGTTCTCTCTCTCTCTCTCTCTCTCTCTCTCTCTCTCTCTCTCTCTC